ACTCGACGATGCCGAAGTGTGAGCAGGCGCTGGCTACCATTCTGGGGGAACACTACCAGTACTCCGATTGGTCTCCCGCCTTTGATGCCGTGTTTGCTGCGGAGGAGGACGGGAAGGATGTACACGATGCTTTGGATCGGAAACGGGAGTCTATCGGTCACCGAGACGTTCAAGCGTACGTTTATCTCTGTGGCATAATATGCTCCCTGTTCCTGATCCCATTTAGTGCGGACCCAGAGGCCCTTGTTCTTCAGCCAATCATTGCCAACTATAATGGCTCCGATACTTTCAGCGACCGGTTGGTACTCAAAGCATCTGTTCGTCTATGCCATACTTATACAATGCGCAGCTCTCTCGCTGAAGGACAAAACTTTGGACGGTAAGTCCAATGCGTTTCAAGACCCGCTTACTGCTTTTAATCACCTACTTCCAGTGAGGACTCCGACGGGAATAACTCTGAGTCGAATCTACATGACTACGCTGGTATCGACTCACGCAGAGATCGGTCAGTAATTTTGTAGAGCGCACTTGTGCATACGACGCTCATACGCTCTGTAGATCTCTCGCGGCGCGAAAAGACCCCAAGGCGTGGCAGATTCTCCACGACGGCGTCGATCAGGAACTCTCATTTGTCACCCTCAGCAAGCAGCTGTGCGACCATCTCTGCGACGATCGCTTGATGGATGACTGGAACGACGTCTTCGATGCTCTTTTCGATGCTGGAGACGATACCGCTGCCGCCCACGCCGCCCTATCTGCCCTCGAGCTCGGAGTTCTTCACGCTTCAATGCTTCAAGACTTTGAACAGAGCGTTTCTGGCTGTTTCACATTTGCAGACCTCTTCGCACAGCCCCAGCTTCATGCCGAGTCGTCGAGAATGGACATCGACAGAGCCGAACGCCGCGCATGGGCCCTACTTGATTTCTGGACAGAATGCGAGAAGATCAATACACGCCTGCTGGAGTACGAGCTGCGTCTAATCCTCGGTCCTCGCTTCGACCCAGACGAGTGGATTCCGGTGTTCGATGAAGTGCCCAGTTCCGGTTCAGAACGAGTGGATCGCAAGGCGAACGCTCGGATTGACGAGTCGGCAAAGCACCGATCCACGGTCATCGCGCGGCGTGATGCGAGTATCACATCCTCTCCGCCTCCTTTCCTCTCTCGCGCCGCACCTCCGCCTTCACGCCGCCGGCATCAAGTTTCGCCGATAGCTACGTCTCCCGGACCGCAGTCCAGACACCCTCGGACGGCAACTCGCGCAGGCGCCGATAGGTCTCCATCAAGGTCTCCTGGGCCGCAGTCCGAACGCGCTCGGACGGCGGGTCGTGCAACCGCTGCTACGTCTACATCTTCTGGGCCACAGTCCGAACACGCTCGGACGGTGACTCGTGCCACCGCTGCTACGTCTACACCTCCTGGATCACAGTCCAAACGCGCTCGGACGACGACTCGTGCGGGCGCTGATAGGTCAGCGTCTGCGTCTCCTGGACCACAATCCAAACGCGCTCGGACGGCAACTCGCGCAGGCGTCGATAGGTCTCCATCAAGGTCTCCTGGGCCGCAGTCCGAACGCGCTCA